CTTTATGAAGTTAATTTAGAACAATGTTTGGAACACTTTTGAGTGTTCTACTAGTTGTGTCCCTAATTATTTTAAAACGGCTTGCGTGAACCCACTTTTAAAGAAACCTGGTTTAGATCCCTCCCTCCCACATAATTTTAGACCAATTTCAAAACTGCCTTTTATTGCAAAGATTCTAGAAATTATTGTGTCCAAACAGCTGCTCACTGTACTGGAAAATAACAAATTATTTGAAAAGTTTCAGTCTGGTTTCAGGACGTACCACAGCATTGAGACTGCAATGCTTAAAGTTAACAATGACCTTTTAATGTCTGCTGATGAAGGTATGTGCTCAGTCCTGGTACTCCTGGACCTTAGCGCTGCTTTTGACACCACTGATCACAACATCAGGTTAGACAGACTGAGGCACTGGGTGGGGATCTCTGGTACTGCCCTAGAATGGTTTTCATCCTACCTTTCAAATCGGAAGTTTTGCGTGTCTGTAAACAACTATGTCTATTCGTTCTGTCAATTTGTGGTATGGTGTGCCTCAGGGGTCGGTCTTAGGACCCATTTTGTTTTCCTTGTATCCGCTTCCCCTTGGACATATTATCCATAAACATTTCTTTTCATATTTATGCCGATGACACACAAATGTACTTGCCAGTCAGATCCATAGACCCTGGAATGCTGAGTTCACTTACCGACTGCCTTTGTGAAGTTAAAAATTGGATTTCAAATAATTTCCTCCAGCTGGACTCGGACTAAAGAAATCCTGGTCATCGGGTCCCAGCAGATGGCAAAGCAAATACTGCCAACTTTATCAACTTTGAAATATAGCAAAAATTTGATCTATGTTAACTTTGAAGGACACCGAGACCATTTTTCACACCTTCATCTCATCACGCTTGGATTATTGCAACAGCTTTTTCACTTGTTTAACCCAAAAATCTACTGATCGACTCCAGACTGTCCAGAACTCAGAACCCCTATTTTAGCTTCATTACACTGGCTCCCAGTTTGTTTTAGAATTGACTTTAAAATTCTATTGATTACTTTTAAAGCTCTTCATGGCCTCTCGCCTTGTTATATTTCTGACCTTTTAGTCCCATATGCACCAGCACGTACCTTGAGATCCTCGGGCAGTGGTCTATTGTCTGTTCCAGAGTCTCGACTGAAGACTAAAGGGGACAGAGCGTTTGCTGTCAGGGCCCCGAGGCTCTGGAACAGCCTGCCCGAGGAAATCGGGTCAGCTGAGTCAGTGAACTCTTTCCCGTCCCTTCTTAAAACAGCCTTTCCCGATCTTATTTGACTTTATTTTATCCCTTTTATTTTATTCTATTTTACTTATTTTATATTTATCTTAAACATGTATTTTAGTCTTTTTCAATTTTTTCTTGCTTTTATCTTGTATTGTTTTGTAGTATTGTATTTTGGGTATTATTGTCTTTACACTTGAAAAGTGCTCTACAAATAAAGATTATTATTATATTAGTATTATTATATTATTATTATTAATCTCATTTTTGAAGTGATGAGAATTTGTTTAAAGTGAGGTGGAATAATGTGGAAATGCCGACACACAGCTGAGCTGAAAGAATAAGGCTGATATTTTTATACAGCTCATAAGAACACATCAAATCAACATTTAATTATTATAGACTACGCCTGTTCATTTAGGCATTCACACTGTTGGCAAATTTCTGTCTCCCTGTGCTACTGGCTCTGTTGACAGTAGACTTGTTCATGTCTGCGATTGGTCATCTGCTGCTAAAACCGCCTCTTTTATGTGAACGCGCTCACGGCTGGATTGGGAAACCCTTGGTTGAGTTACCGAGTTGATAACCAGCTTCGTGGTACCGCTTATCTTGACCTCGATTGTTAGGGATAGTTAAGCCAGATAGCTGAAAGATATCCTCGGTATGTTGAAAAACCTGCATAGCTGTTCTGGTTTTTTATGTACAAAATGAGTGTTACCCCCATGTCAGACTGATTTGCAGAACCTATACACAGTTTACTGACCTCATAATATATTGTTCCAGACACAAGTTCACAGTGTTGACACACATGAAACTACTTCCAAGTAATGTCTTGTAAAAAACATCTAGGCCAGTGGTCACTAATAGGCGGACCGGCTGGGTCCGGATCCGGACCGCCGACCTACAGCCGATTTATTAATGAGACTTAGGCCTACTACCTCGTGACGGAGCATTTCTATTTTAACCCGCGCATCTTTTCTAGCATTTACTGTACTGGTTTAGCAGCCCAGGAAACTCACAGACCAATCGTATGTGCTCCAATTGTCTCATGTGACGCTGCTCAGCCCAATCAAATCTGTGCATTCCGATGCTTGCGAGTCGAGTCCGCCAGATTCACCAGAGACGTTTTGGAAACACGCACGAATTGAGGAGACGGAAGGGAAAAGAGATTTCACATGGCTTTTAATAAAGAATGTACAGATTCTTACATGTACATTCCTCCCACGGCAGTTCAAAACCAGAATATCTCATAGATCTCCGATGCTAGTGAATTCTAATTAAATACCCCTGATCTAGGGTGATGGGTTAAGGTGTATAGGGGAAAGTTGCTCATAGATTACAAATAACAATTTTTTATTTTATTTTTTTATTGAGAAACATATACTTGAGATGCCTATGCTGCTGTTCAGAAAAAGTGACCACAATATTGGGTAAAAATACAAACCAGAAAAGTTGAAGAAATGCAGAAAAGCAGAAATGGTTTTCTGACAAGCGCCCATGTGGCAATATTTTTTTCACAGAAGCATTACAGTTTATTAGGAAGTGCCCCTGGGAGCTTCAAGGTCAACTACATTCAAGCAGTTTCTGACCTTTTCACAATATTTTGTGCTACTGATTTTGAAAGATCGAAATTCTCTACAGCCTTGAAAGAAAGCTTTCCTTTGAACTGACTGACTGATTTTCTGATGAAAAGGAGTGAGTCACGAACCATCCTTACTGAGCCTTTGGCGGATGCTACTATTAGATCCAATCATGACCAGTTAGCCTGCTTATTGTGGAGTCTTCTAAAGAGGTGTTACTTCAATATTCTGTGCGCTTTTTCTTTTTTCTTTTTTTTTCAACTTTTGTTGAGTGTGTTGCAGACATGAAAGTCTAACTTTGTTTATATTTACAAACTACAATTACGCTATTCAGTAAAACTGTTCTTATTATTTCTGTCAGTAATAAATCACTTCACATGAATAAACAAATTCCAGATTTTTGTTTTTATTGCATTTTGGGAAATATCCCAATTTATCTGGAAATAGGGTTTGAAAGTATGACCTACAGGCCATTATTTCTTTTACAAACTGTTTTGTAAGCTTTCTTGTTGGAATTGAAAGCTATTGTGTAAACAGTGGCCATATTTAACAAGTGAGCTTCCAAAAGTATATTGCATTCCCTTCTGAAGAGATAACGGTAATTTCTTAGAATAATAACGTCACACACGTCATTTTGTGTCAGTGAAGCCTTAAACCAATTAGGGTAAAGTTCAGTCATCACAAAGGTGGTTCCTACTTGGTGGAGCTAGAGGACAGCAACTGCAGCCACCTTGCTCCGCAAGATTTTAATGTAATGTTTTCATGAGAAGCAGAGCAAGGACTTGTACTTTGGATTCTGCACACCCTCAAAGCACAGTTTTCTCCCTGCAGGTTGCAATACTGCTCGCAGGAGCAAAGAAATTCTGCGTGCAAAAGTAATATGTGCACCATATGTGCTGTTGCATGTGCGCAAGGATCTCATTTCCTCTCCCGGGATTCTGATATTCTCTATGGATGTTTGGCAGGGAAATGCCACAATACTGACAACACTGTGGAAAGGATTGCTACAGAGACAGACATTTTAAAGAGTATAATTCTATATCCGCTGTGTGGCTCTGTTCAAAGCCACCAGACTCCATTGACAAAAAAAATTAATTGTATCTCATAGAACGTGGGACTTGCTGATGTACTGCTGCTTCAATCTGTTTGTGTTATTGTGTTTTAAGGGGCTAAAAACACCAAAGTCACACAATAACACAAAAAACCTAACCAATCAAGACAGTGGCAGAGTGCTATAGTAACCTATTTACAATTGTTTTGTAATTTGTCCGTGTGTGTCTGTGTGTGCGCACCTTATACAGGCTATTGTGTGCACTCCGGTGTGGGTATGAGAGAGAAAGAAAGGAGTGCTCCGTTTCTTTAATCCTATATTGAACTAAAACAACAAGTTATTGTTAACCAAACTTTCTTTTTAACTTTGTTACAGCTGACAAAAGTGCAGTACTAAGAGAGAGAGGAGACTGGAATTAGATAAAAGAGGAATATTTATTGCAGAGTTGAAGGGACAAGAAATTGAGCCTGAAAAGAGCGAGACAGAGTGGAAGACCAGATGCCTGCAGAACTGGGTTTGTGGCTGTTGGGCAGAGCAGGGGGGAACTGTAGCTCAGAGTCCAGAGTGTGGAAAGCTGAGCCAAGCAGGTCCAGAGCAGAATCCGGGAATAGTTTAGCAGGGTGGAAGTCCAGAGGGAGCAGACAGAATGAGCACTATTTCCAGTAGCCGAAGTAAAACAACTTTTAAATTCACTTTTAACTTTGATTATTTATAAAAATGTAGGCTGTATGAGTTTTTTGATCTGTAATGAAATAAAGCTATTGTAATGTGAATAACCCCATAACTGCCTTTGTCTTTGTCACTTAATTTAAAGTACTATGTAATGTTGTAAAATATGGGTGAAAAAAGAATGAATATTCAAATATTTGGGTCCAGCACTACTTTATACCCTGAGATAAGATGTGTTTGTCATGTTGGAGTCTGACAAACAGAACATGTGGCCTGTTAACTGATGAACTCTTTTCTTACAGTCATTAACAGTAAAAACATGTAGTCTGCTCCTGCCTGGGAAAAGACTATATGAAAACAAAGCCCACATCTTACACAAGCCTGTTTTAAGCAATAACCGACACTTACAATTGAACAGAATTTGTCAATAACTATTTGGAAGGCAGTTTGCCATACCATATTAGGCTGAAAGTTAGTTGGCTTTGCCACCTATAAAAGTAGGTGGCACTTGTTTCCCCAGGCATTTTCTTGGTCTTCCACTGCTGTCCTAAAAACAGTCATGATCCTCCAGGCTGCGGTACTTGGTGTCCTCTTCTGCTCTGTCCACAGTGATCCTATACAGGTAAGCATCAGCAGACACTTTACATGTTTATTAATAAGGACAAAGACAAAATTACATAAACACATAAAATATTTCTATCACACAAATTAAGATGAAATGCACTCAGTGTGATAGATTCTGACATTTAGTCCCAAATTCAGTGTTTCTTTAATAAGATACAACAATCAACAGCAATAAGACATATTATGTTAATATTTACTAACATTCTTAACTTATAGGGGAACATTTTGTTTTTGTTTTTTTTGTGAGGAAATTCCCTCACTTAACTTCCACATTGTTAATTCAGATAAGACCACTGTGGATCCATATCCATTCTTCTGTATTTACGGTATCTAACATTTGTTGACTTGTTATTATTACAGGCTTGTTTTAAAAGGAATGAAACGTACTCTGGTAAGACATGGCTACTTTTCAGACAGTAACATTCACTCTTACATCATGTAGCTTATACATGAACAAACTGTTTCTATTCCGCAGGCAACACCATTGAGGATGATGATTTCAGTGTCTCCACGCTGATAGAGAGGGCCAATGTTAATGTTGGTATGTTTCTCTCTAACCTTACATAAAGATCAAAAATATGCATTAAAACATAGAAGTGATACATAATGCTGGTACCTGGAAGTATATAACAGAGAAACTTCATTCCAAACAGAACCGTCATTGTGACTGAAATTCAGACCCAGATTTGACCAGCCCTTAACACAGCAGTGAAACCAAGAAAATGAGATTAAAAAGATCATCCTCATGTCATTTTGCAGGAAAGAACCTGGATGAGCCTCTAGTGATGTTTGGAGACATAGCAATACCAACCGGTCTGCAGAATGCTGATCCCTGCACATCCCGAGGCTGCCTGTGGCCTAAAGCCACCGATGGCAATGTCTATGTACCCTACCGCATCTCCAATCAGTTCTGTAAGTCTCAACAAACAGTCCATTTTTCAAGGCAGGACTTTTATTTCAGTTTAGTGCTCATAATTCAACAATATAACGTGGTCACTTCTACATATTTTAGTAGTAGCAGTCCCAGTTGGCTAGTGGAAGCAGTAAAAATTAGCTTAGTAGTAGCAGTATAGTAGAAGGAGTGGTGATAGTGGAAGATATCAATAGCAGTTGTAGATCTAGTGGTAGTATTCACAGTAGTAGCAATGTTTTTAGCGCTTTGAGATAACTGTTTTTGTGATTTGGTGCTATATAAATAAATATAAATTGAATTGAAATTGACAGTAGTAGGAAAAGCAGTAGTAATGGCAATAGCAGCAGCAGTAGTAGTAAAATTAGTAGCAATAGTACCAACAGCATTAGCAGTAGTAGTACTTGTAGCAGTAGCACTTCTAGTAGTAATGGAATGGTTTTGCTGCTAAAAGGCCCCTTGCAGATAAGATGGCAGAGTGAATGAAAAGATGGCAGCAATAAAACCACTAAACTGATGTGTTAGAAGAAGGAAGAGGTTAAGTACGTTTTATTTAGCAGGCATGTTTTTATTATTTTAGTAACTTAGCTTGTTTTTTATTTGATCGTTTTAATTATTCTTCACTCTCCATCTGAAGTATCACTCACTTATTGAATTTGCCTCCTTCAGTTCTGTTCACACTCACAGACCTAACGTGCCTCTGCAGCAAACAGGCCATGCTCCGTTTTCCCTTGCAGCGACTTGTAACATAATCACTGCATTTCTCTGATAAATGCTACAGTGTGTCTCCTAACCTGGGCAGCCCGCCAAAGTAAAGTGTATGTGTGGGAAACACTGAATGAACTGTTTTTACAAGCCAGGTCTTTAACAGTGTCGACCAGCACTGTGTCTCCCTCCATCTTGTTAGAGACTTTGTGAGTAGACGGCTGCGTGCAGAAGCAGAGGGAGGGGTGGGGCTGCACGGTGAGGGAGAGAGAGGAGCAAACACTGGCAGGACTTTACAGAAACATATTAATTAACTCAACATCAGACTATATCGGTATAAACGGTATTGTCTAATTTCATATCTCTTTTGAAATTATATCGGTATACCTCATATACCGATACACCACCCAGCCCTAATGCAGTACATGTGCTGTCTGTCCTCTGCACCTGTCAGTAATTGTTTAATTAGGTTGTCTCATTATGAGCTTTAGGGTTGCATATCTTTTAACAGTACTTGATAGTCCTTGAACCACATGAAGTACATGAAGTATGAGTATTTCAGTACAATGTTTGGATTAATATTTTTGTTGCATGCTCTCATAATGTATGACTTAATTTTAAATGATAATTCATTTTTAGGTTGACTACGTAACAGCTGTCCAGGGACTACAGATGAAAAGTAGTCTTTTGGCTAACTCTGGCACAGTTACTTCAATGTTTTATTAATGTGCACAGTAGGGCTGCAGCTAATAATGACTTTAGTACTCGAAGCTTCTATAGATTATTTCAACGACTCATCGAAGTAACTCATCGAAGTAGTTACTTTTGCTTGGTGGCAGCAGCGCCCCCCGGTAACAGGATCAGCTGTGCACGTTTATAGGTGATAGATATTTATTAGTCCTTTTGGAAATTCATAGTTTGTCATACAGCAAACATCAGCCGAACAACCAGAGAGCTGCTTTACGAACACAAACATCACCCCAGTGCTGTACAAGTTATACTACAGGCTCATGCAGACTACACGACTTTCAGCGTCGGCCGATGGCCTTGCAGTTCACACAACTTGCCGTAAAATGACGGCAGTCTTGAAGTCGTTGTGGCGTTCACACTACTTGACTGATCGGTGACAGGGGGTCACTCACACACTACAGGAGCTGACAACAGGTATGGCACCCGATGCTGGTTTCCAAACCACTTTTATGAAGAAAACGCGTGAAATGTGAAACGGGATATGAGCGATCCTGCACAGGGAACAGCTGTTTGTTATTATGAATATGGCAATTATAAAGACAAATAATATGGGTGAAAGGATGAATTAGTACATGCAGGTAGCAGGGATTGTCTGAGCTACAGAGAGCTGCAGGGGAGTTAAAAGGTGCAGCTTCCGGACACCCAGTTAACTCTTGACTGTGAGGCTACAACTCACTGCCCAAAAAGGAGAACAAACGCACGTGTGCACATTTTCAGCTGAGGACTGCAGCTTACTTTGGCTTCAATTCAACAGTCAGTCATGATTTCAGTTAAATGCTAAAGTTGCTGTTACTGTTACCTTGTCTGTGGTCCGCTGGCTGCTTTCTGATAAAGCGCGGTCGTGCTGTTTCCAAGGCGACATAAGTTTCTTTTTACGGTGGACAGACGGTAACATTACAGAGTTGTTGTTTTCTTTAGCTTGAAATAATCCCATACTTTGGACACTTTCTCCTTTGTCCCTCACTATTTTCTCTCTCTTCCTCCACTTTGCAAACAGCTCGATCATAATCACGTTGTGTTCACAGAGTAAACGCGATGTGCGACAGTAATAAATGTCTCTGCGAAACACTGTGCTGTACAGTTACATGGATTAAACGAAGCATCGATGCAAAGATGCCCGTGGGCCGCCAGGTCCTGGCAGCAGCTTTCGGTATGTGCACACAGCAACTATTTTAGCTTCATACTCATGATACACTGTTTGAAAGCTAAAATCCTCGTGATTTGACCCATGTAAACCATTTCAACATACGATCATCACAGCGGGTACAATCAGCCCTTCTGTCAGACCAGCCAGTACAATCAAAAGTGAGGCGACTCACCTATGAAGCCTCATAGTAATCCACCGATCGATTATATTCCAACAAAAATGGTCTTGTTACATTGTCAAAAGGTCCAGACGATCCAATCTAGTAAAAACATTAATCCAAAACACATGATTCCATCAGTAAATTCCCAGGGACTGCTGCGGTATCGTTTCATATCTGCTGGCAGACGTGGCTCGTTTGTCATTATAACCGTAATAACTCTAATTTGAACGTAAACAATTAGGATATTTTTTATTAAAATTAGCCTCTAAACTCTGACCTTTCGACTGACAGCTAATTCGCCCTAATAGGAGCTCACATGTCCCTTTCCCAGCCTTCAATAGCAAACGAGAGCCCGCGCTGTAAGAAAGGGCCAGCCCCTATTATTTCGTGGGTAGGCCGAGCCAATTGCGAGCAATTGTGCCAATGACTGGCACTTCCTGTAGCCAATAAAATTCTGCACATAACGATATCCAGCTTTAAGTAGGAAGTTCATGATCTACCAGCAAAAAATCACATCTGCGTCAAGCTACCGGCTAACACGGAGCGATGCAGCAGCAGCTTCCTGCCGCCAAGGGGTGGTGCTGTTTTAGAAAAAACACGCTGAGACATACACTCAGAAAAACCTGTGTAAAATAGTCATAGTATTGGTATGAAATTTAAACTAGGACTAGGTAAGGCAAGGCAAGGCAAGTTTATTTGTATAGTACATTTCAACAACAAGGTAATTCAAAATGCTTTACATAAAACATAAAAGCAACAGGGAAATATAAAAAAGTTTAAAAGCAACATAGAGAAATTGAAAAACAGTTACAGTGCAGTGTACAATCAGGGTTAAAAGAGTTAAATAGAAAGTAAAAACAGGCTGAGGGGTTGAGCAAATAATTGAGTTACAATTATTTTGAAAAGAGAATAAACAGAGAAGTACACTTAATCTACTCTCTCTAGCTAGTCTGTACTCGGGTCCATAGCAATCTTTGGGTCCACTGAAACTCCAAAAACCCTCGGACACTACAGAGAAACCAGGACATGTCTGTCCGCAGGCCACTTTGATCCAGTTATACTCTGGACACACCTGCGCATTTATAGGTGGACAGAGGTTCCTGCAAATCACTCAGGCGCGAGATTTAAGACCTATACTCTGTTCAATCTCACTCTCATTATCTTTTCACTCAATTACCTGTAAATATTTAATTAAAAGCAATGGTAAAAAGCTAAAAACAAAGAAAAAAGAAAACAGGACAGTAAAAGTTACAGTGCAGTTATCAATCTACTAGTCTTATCTATCTAAATCTTAAATATTTAATTAAAAGCAATGGTAAAAAGAAAAGTCTTCAGTCTTAATTTAAAGACCTGCAGTTATCTGGGAGTTTGTTGTTACGGAGCATAATAACTGAACGCTGCTTCTCCTTGTTTAGATTTGACTCTGGGGACAGAAAGCAGACCTGCCCCAGACAACCTGAGAGGTCTGGATGGTTCATAACAAAGCAGAAGATCAGAAATGTATTTTGGCCCTAAACCATTTAGTGCTTTATAAACTAGCAGCAGGATTTTTGAAATCAATTCTTTGACATACAGGAAGCCAGTGTAAAGACCTCAGAACTGGAGTGATGTGATCCACCTTTTTGGTCTTAGTGAGGACTCGAGCAGCTGCGTTCTGAATCAGCTGCAGCTGTTTCTTAGGGAGCCCTGTAAGGACGCCGTTACAGTAGTCGAGTCGACTGAAGATAAATGCATGGATAAGTTTTTCCAGGTCTTGCTGAGACATAAGTCCTTTAATCCGTGATGATATATTCTTCAGGTGATAGTAGTCTGACTTTGTAATTGTCTTAATGTGGCTCCTCAAATTCAGGTCTGAGTCCATGACTACACCAAGATTTCTGGCTTGATTTGTGGTTCTTAACATTACAGATTGAAGTCGAGCGCTTTCAATCGTTCCTCCCTGGCTCCAAACACAATAACTTTAGTTTTATCTTTGTTCAATTGAAGAAAATTCTGGCACATCCAGCCGTTGACCTGCTCAATACAGTTACTCAGCGCCTGTATGGGATCCTAGTCCCCTGGTGAAATGGTTATGTAAATCTGTGTGTCATCTGCAGAATTATGGTAACATATTTTGTTGTTTTTTTTATAATCTGAGCCGGTGGAAGCATGTAAATGTTAAACAAAAGAGGTCCCGGAATGGAGCCTTTGGGAACTCAAAGTAATTTTTGTCAGCTCAGATGTGTGATTACCTATAGACACAAAGTAGTCCCTGTCCTTTAAGTAGGATTCAAACCATTTTAGTACTGTGCCAGAAAGTCCAACCCAGTTTTCAATTCTGTCTAGTAATATGTTGTGGTCGACCGTGTCGAATGCAGCACTGAGATCCAATAATACTAAGACTGAAATTCTGCCACTGTCAGTGTTTAAATGGATGTCACTGAAGACCTTAACAAGAGCCGTCTCAGTGCTGTGGTGTGGTCGAAAACCTGACTGGAAGACATCAAAACAGTTATTTAGTGCCAAGAAATCACTAAGCTGTTGAAAAACAGCCTTTTCAATGATTTTACTTAAAAATGGGAGATTTGATATGGGCCTATAATTGCTCATGAACTCATGAATTGCATGAACTGTCTAGATTGCTCTTTTTTAAGAGTGGCTTAATGACTGCAGTTTTCAGGGCCTGTGGGAAAATACCTGAGAGGAGAGATATGTTGACTATTTTTAGTAGATGTGAGGCCATGCATTTAGAAAAATTTAGATTTTTAGAAATTAGATTTTTGAAAAAACCTGTTGGCAGAATATCAAGGCAACATGAAGAGGATTTCAGATGTTGTGTTATGTTCTCCAGGTTTTTATGGTTAATAGAATCAAATTGTCTCGTGCTATATAAACTATTTTTAAGTGGACACGAGGAATTAATACTAAATTTACAGGATATAGTGAGTTCTTTCTGTTTCTTAACACATTCACCATGCTTTTTCTGTTACCTGTCAAGACAGGGATGGAGAAGACTACCAGCACATTGGGCCCCGGCTTGTCCTGGGAAGAGTCATGAGTGCTATTTTCCTTGTAGCCTGGACCCTGCACATATAAAGACAGAGCTTACTGGGCTTTTTCGCCATTGCGGAGCGAGAAGGCGAGTTGCGCGCTGTATTTGTGACACCTGTGTCAAACCTGGAGGACTTAGAACCAGTGGTGGAGGTGAACGGTGAGGGGGGTTTAGGATGGAGAAAATGGGAGTGGAGCGAGGGAAGGTGCGGGGAATAAATTTTGTCCCAGCTCTAACCAGGTCTTCCATGTGATCAGTGAAGTCCAACAAGGGGGGAGAGGGGAGAAAGTGTGTCTGAAGGTGGGGATTGGGGGGGTAGAGATGTTGAATCCTCACTGTTGGTTTTCAGTGAGAGAGGTGGAGACTCTTCCAGTGGGGGTTGGGGTGGCTCTCCTTCAAGGTTTCTGGTGTGTTGTGTTATGTCTTCTTCTTTTTTTGATTCCTCTTGTCTTTGGCAGAGGGAACAGATGAGTGACGCAGAAAGTAAAACAGGTTGGAGCTGAACAATTTTACTCCTGACTTGTTAAGGCGAAGTCCATCTGCCTTAAAAAGATGTCTGCGGTCCCACAGAAAGTAAAAGTTTTCGATGAAATGCACTGAATGGACAGTACATGCCGTTGAGAGCCACGTGTTCAATGCCATCAATCTGCTGAATCTCTCAGCTCCTCTTCGGATTTGCGGTATAGGGCCACTGATAAACACTGTTCAACAGACACCGTATCCTTCGGAAAGCAGAGTATTTTGGTGTTCTTACTGCACATGCTTCTTACATCATTTACAGCAGTCACCCACAATCAGAGTTTGAGGCCCAGTCGTTAGCTTTTCTGTGCAGCCTTTTACTTTCTGAATTACTCTCAGTCCTTACCCTTCTGTGTGAGGATGGGATGTTATCCAGGTCATCAGACGGAGATCCAGGGTCCTGCAATAGTGGTGAAAATCTGTTGTGCTGTTGCACACTCGGTTGTTGGGGAGGTTTGTTGCTAACTCTCCCTTTTGCAGCTGTCCACGGCTGTGTCCTACTAAGAACAGGGGTTGAAGAGGCGCTCTGCCTGGATGATAATGCAGGCCAGCCAGTCGCATCACAAATCTCAGGGCGCTGGGTTCTACCTGTTACTCGTCCTCCCATTTCCCCAGGAAATGATTTATTCTTAGGCTTTGCACCAAGAGCGTTCCAGGGAGGACTCCCACTTTCAGATTTATTACCCAGTACACAGGCCTCCTGCTTCTTGGTAGTCTTGTTGGTGCTAATTAGCCGTGTGTTAGCTAATTTTCTGTAGAAGTTTGTAGAAGTCGTCCGTGGAGAAGGGGGGCATCTTGTTGCTAATTAGCATTAGCTACAACTCCAGTCACTGCAGTACAGGCTAGTGCTATTGATAGGCCGCACTCGCGTAGCACCAAGATCATAAAAGTTTTTAAAGTATGGCAAGAGCCTACTTTATCTGACAGTCCCAGTGATTTAAAAGTATCCAAGAGCTGCTGATTTCTAGCAGAAGAAAAGAGAGTTTAAGCGAAAGAATGCAAGCAGAGGCAAGAGCAAGCAGCAAAGCGTCTGCACTGTAACAAAGCCAAATTCCAGTAGCACTTACAATCATTCTGACTTTTGGGGTAGCCACTCCAGAGTATTATCTTTCAGAGAAGCCCAAAACCATGCATATACTCCAAATGGTTCAAGAACTACATTCAATTTACTTTGGATATGCCTTGAATAGGTGTTCCATGAATTTTACAGGACTGTTAAGAGGTTAAACTGCATAATAATAATAATCAAAAGTATACTGGAGCATACAGTATACAGTATAGTATTCTTTATCTTATCTCTGAAGTCTCTCCTTCATGATAATGGTTAAATGATGATGATAATGATGAAAATGTTTTTCATGCGGTCAAGCCCGAAGAGAGAGATGTACCATCATCCGAGCTCTGCGGTCATTTGCCGAGTCCACCTGCATCCGCTTCACCCCCTTGAATGGCCAGGAGGACTTTGTCGACATCCAGTCCCTCTCAGGGTATGGAGCTCACAATGCACATAGCACATATGCATGCATGAATGCACTCATAGATGTTGTTGACACATATGGACTTCATGGGTTTCAATCAAACACTATGGCCCAGATTTACTAAAGGTTTGCGTGAGTAAAAACATTTACAAACTTGATATCACCAGCACATTAAGATGTACGTTGATCTACTAACGGTGTGCTCGGAGAATGACGTCTTTCAAAAGTGCAAGATATCACCTGTTGTTCATTTACTACTTTTACCTTAATGAATATGCAATTTGGGGCGTATTTTATTGTATTTATTCGATGAACTACTGTATATGAATAGAATTGTTTATTTGTAATTTCCTTTATCTTTGGCAGTACTGTTGTATTAACATTCATGCCAATAAAGCAAATTTCTTTTCGACTTCTTTTCTCCGTGAGATGGAAGAATTTAGAAAGGTGCGTGGCACTGCAGAGAGCCCCCAGCTGCAGTAGTGCATGGATCACACGTAAAATTCATCCAGCCAGAGGGAACGATCAGCTGTTCACAGCGTGCCGGTCGTAATAGCAACACAACCCATTGTACTTATCAGAGAGGGAATGGGGCGTTGGGGCGTACAGGACCAGGAGCGACCAGGCACTGTGCGGACGGTCGGTGGCTGGATGAAGCACCATCTGCTGGCATTTCCTCACGTCTGGGTCATTCCAGCACACTGTAGCTGTTTCTGCTGGGGTTTCCCAAAGCGTTTTTTCAGGGGTGCTGTCCCAAGTACTTAGTGCTATCAGGATGGGCAGGTACAGACAATTTCCACATATGAGGAACACACTTAATGAAGCAAACCAAGATTTTTACGCAGTGGCTGTTTTCCCTCATGACTCTCCATGACTGAATTTAAACTCTCCTCATTTAAAAATTCCCACCTCCATTGTGAAGGTCCCGGGTCCTGTTGTCATCTATGCAATAATTCTGAGTTAATCACCCATAACAGGTACAACAGTTACACGTACAATATTTTAGAATGCACACGCAATTTAGTACTCTTTACTACTGCTCTCTTTCAGGTGTTACTCATTTATCGGGCGTCGTGGACAGGGCCAGATAGTATCTTTGAGTCGCCAAGGCTGTGTTTTCCACCACGTCATCCAACACGAGCTGCTCCACGCCCTGGGCTTCAACCATGAACAGACCCGGTCCGACAGGGACGCGCATGTTCGCATCCTGCTGCAAAACGTCATTGCTGGTGGGTTACAGACATACTAACAATTATTATGTTGACTATAGATGTAACTTTAATAGTGCTTTTGCTACACAGGAATGGAGCACAATTTCGAGAAGATCCAAACAAGGAACCTTGGCACTCCCTATGACTACAACTCTGTCATGCACTATGGAAGGTAACGTCTCAGTTCACTCACTGAGCTTCATAATGATACACTAGAACAATTTAATTATGAAAGCATGTAAGATATATAACACACCTAAAAAAAATTTTAAAGGACAGGTTCACATTTGTTCAAGTCTGTCTTAAAACCATTTAAGCTATTGATGATCCTTTCTCATATTGAATACTGTTTTACAAACTGGTCACTTACAAATGCCACTACACTCAAACCAATAGAGTCACTCTTTCTCTCAACCGCTTTCATATCATCACTGCTTAATCCTGCAGAAATATAACCAGCTAAGCTTTGAAAATGTTCTGAAGTTCAAATATGCCTGTGCTATATATATAAGATCCTACATGGACTTGTCCCACACCAACTAAGTGAGTACATTAAATTGAAAATAACGGGAGGTGGCAGAACTGTAACCAGGGCTCCACAAGAGGTGATTGTATGGTGCCTTACAGACATACAACATTTGGACAATTAAGGGGTCAGAGATCTGGAACAAGTTAGTATGGGAATGTTTGACTTACCCCAGCTTCAAGAACCAACTCAAACAATGGTTCAAGACACATCAAATTTGTGACCACTAACGGACTTTTATGTGAATGGGTTTGTCTACTGTTGTATTGTTTATGTATGTGTATGTTTACCGTATGTATGTTTACCATACCAGATCCAGCACTTTGCTGCATTAAATAGCACTTTAATATAATTAAAATGTACTTCATGTGAATAGAATAGCACTTTACTGCGTATGTGTATATGTGTGTGTCTGCCGTAGATGTAGCACCCTCCTGCACTAAACAGCTCTCAAACAAAATTAAATTGAACATTATATCATAGAATGGCACATTACTGCAAACACAGTACCTTAAATTACATAATCCCTGTCTGCTAACTGTGGTGTCTTTTATAATATGTTGTTGAAAATTGTGGCGTCTCTTAAATTGTGTTGTATCGTATCTAATTTCAATGTTTAGCTGTGTTTGTACTGTGATGACCTGATGGGGGACTACAGATGTAAAATAGCCTTGGGGTTAATTCTGGCATATTTACATTGCTGAAAAGGTAAGATATCCATTAATATGCACTGTCCCTTTTTAAATAAATAAAAAAAAAAAAAAACAATACTCACGTGTTGGTTAAAAAAGCATGCTGTAGTAATTCTTTCTCACCGTAAATACTGGCCATGAAGAGATCCCTCAGATCAGATTTTTTAGAATGCATTTTTGCAAATAACAATGGCTGTGAACTAGGGTTGGGTGATTGGACGGATATATTGAAGATTGGCTTTTCCATCCAGTCCATCTGCTGTTTTTTAAGGCTGATTTTTGTCATTTTATTTTGCAAATTTAGTGGTGTGCCTAAAAAGAATGAGTGAGAGCTGCTGCTCAGTGACAGACTCTTGTTCAGCAAGCTATCTCAATAGATTCCTAGCTTCCACAGCTTTAAGCTTGTAGACTGACCTACATCAGCTTTCAGTGGTGATTCAGCTCTGCGGAATGAACTTGTGCTTCTTGTTGAAGATGAACTGAGCCGTTTAGAAAATATGGTGGCAGCTGTACAATTTAAACCTCTCATCACTACTTTGTATTTGCACCATAGGTATTTCTTCTCTAGGAACGGGGAGCCAACCATCGTGCCCATTCCTGACAACAATGTACCCATTGGCAGGGCCAACCAGATGAGCCCTAATGACATCCTCCGGGTGAACCGCCTTTATCGTTGCAGTACGTGATTTTGTACACATATAGCCTACATACCTGCTAAATAAATTGTTGTTTGGGTAAAAACTTGTTTCTATATCAAATGTAGTTATTATAACTAAGGTTCAGGAACAAGACCATATCTCTCTCTCTGTCTCACTAATCCAACCACCTGTGCTTCACTCATATTATCCACCTGTGCCTCTCTAATCCAATCACCTGCACATACAGTAGGTATATAAGCCTGTCTAACCCCTTTCTCTCCCGTTTCGCATTTCTCACATCCCTCCCCCCCAAACCCTGTTTCTCACCTCTTTCCATGGGCAGCATGTTGGCCCAGTGGACAGCACTGTGGCTTCACAGCGAGAAGGTCCTGAGTCCAGACCTCGGTCGGCCTTTCTGTGTGGAGTTTGCATGTTGTGCCCATGTTTGCATGTGTTTCCTCCCATCATCAAAGACTAAATGTTAAAATTCATAATTCCGCCAAAGTAATTGTTCTTTTTCTACCACAGGAGCCAAAGGGGGCTCATAAAGCACGACACTTATAGAGACGTGCCCCCACCCTGAGTCTCAACATCCGGGTTCCTAGCCGCTCTGGCCACCATGACCCAGACAAAACCCCTTCATTCCTACATCCTCTATCCCTTCATCCTTTTCTTCCTGAACCTTCTCTCTAACCAAATAAACTATCTATTGATATCAATTGGTGTGGTTTTAGTTATTGAATCTACAGTAAATCTTTCCACCTACCTACCTGACTACCCACTAGCTTACCCGCCTACCAACAGTACCCTCTCAGAATTTACAGTCTTTCTACTGACAAACTGGACAGACTAGTGAACACACACATAGAATGATTATGAATGTTCATGTACATCATAGCAGTACCATAAAGTGGGGTCCGGGGACCCCCAGCAGAAAGGGGAATAATTTATTTTCACTATAATTCCATCCATAAGTAACAAAATGACAGAATGTATGACTATTTTTGTTGAAATAAACATGAAATAAGTTCAAAATTGACCTCAAACTAAATAACAAATCTGATGGGCTTGCCAAAACAAACAAAAAAAAGGGAAGCCCTCCAGACCAGCCCACAAAGGGCTCTGAGATCTGGAGGCTTCCCCTCTACCCTAAACCAATCCCTAACTGAACAAACAGAAATAAAACTAAATCCCATCAGAAATATGAGAAAAGAACAACTATCAAAAGAAATCAGCAGCAGTCTCTGTGGTCTGCTGCTGCCATGGCTGGAAGGTGGACAAGAGAGAGCCAAGCGCCCAGCCCCCTCACGAGCGTTTCTCCCCTCGTCACCCAGATCTGAAGCACCTGAGGGGAAAAAAAGACAAATAGTCACCACCACCTAAAATTGTACATCATGACCAGCAGGGAGGGAGAATGTAACAGTTTGTGTGCACATGTATGCATATTCAGTCAATATGTTTTAACATATTCCCTCAAGTCAAAAGGAAATTAAGCAATTTGAGCAAAGTGTCCAATGACATAATTACACATTTTTCAAATCAGCCTGTTTGTGTTTGCTCCTTTCTTTTTTACCTGGACAGATTTAAGTGAACTTGCAGTTCTTTTTTATGGAAATACAGAGTAAACATTCATCTAGAGGCCAAACTTGGTGTAAACCCAAGCAGGTGGTCAGGAATATTCATATTTTCTGTCATCCTCATGTTGGCCTTCATGAACAAAGCCCAGTGACGCTGCTTGATGAACATACACAGGTGATCAAACGCAGCACATGCAGTAGTAGATAAGCCTGTTTTCTAGTCTTGCACTCAGCACATACAGTAAATCTACTCACACACACACCTCCTTTTTTATTCTGCAAAGATATAGGAAGGACAAAGTAACAAATACACTGTGAAAAATTTTATACAATCTCATACAATACCTTTAATAAATATTACATTTGTGAAAAAGATGAGTTTATTCAATTGTAGTGAACCAGCCAGTGTTGGTTTAATAATTTTACACCAAAAAGGAAGAATCCAGAATCTATTTTATATATATTAATCTAATCTATATTTAACCTCACTGTGTATTCACTTTAGTTAGTTAATACATTTCACCTTAATCACAGTAACTGTGTGTGTACTGTTTAAATCCAGGTCAACTGATTAAACTGATTTAAAATGATTGGCAATTATTAACTAACTGATCACTAGTGAATAATTGTGTAATAATTATTATTATTATGTGTGGCTGACGTACTGCTGACGTATTGCGGTAAGCGTGTCGACTCATTTCCGTTTCCGGTGCTTGTGTGTTGGTACCGTGTTGTGCTGCTCTCGCTAAATAACAGTTACATTTGTTAGATTACAGCAGCCAACTGTCCGCTAAACACTTATTCTTTACAGTAATTTTGCCTAAGCACTCACAGTTCTTTCCATCTTTTGGTGACTGCTGTTCAATCTTATAGTTGTTCTAAAGTTTTGGTAGCTGACGCTACAGTACTTTAGCTTAGCCGTTAGCGACTTTAGCTTAGCAGCTAGCGATGGCTTCTCCTTCTCCCTCTCTGTCTCCTACTTTCTCCTGCTCGGTGTGTCAGACTGGCCGTAGGAGGAATAGTCGTAAGCATTCAAAGTCCACGGGGCACCATCAACCTGTTCACGTTTCAGATTTTCCCCACTCAGCAACACACCCACTGAGAAACCAACTCTGATCATTGGCAGCTCCATTTTGAGAAACGTGAAGTTAGCGAAGCCAGCGGCCATAGTTAAGTGCATCCCTGGGGCCAGAGCGGGCGACATTGAGTCTTATTTGAAACTGCTGGCTAAGGATAAACGTAAATACAATAAGATTGTTATTCACGTCGGCGGTAATGACTCCCGGTTACGCCAATCGGAGGTCACTAAGATTAATGTTGAGTCGGTGTGCAACAACAATGTCGGACACCGTAGTTTTCTCTGGACCCCTGCCAAATCTGACCAGTGATGACATGTATAGCCGCATGTCGTCATTCCGCCGCTGGTTGTCGAGGTGGTGTCCAGCAAACGATGTGGGCTTTGTAGATCATTGGCAGACTTTCTGGTGAAGACCTAGTCTGATCCGGAGAGACGGCATCCATCCCACTTGGGAAGGAGCAGCTCTCATTTCTAGAAATCTGTTTATTAGTGGACCAAATCCATGACAACCCAGAGTTGAGACCAGGAGGCAGAGTCGCAGTCTAACACACTTCTCTGCCCTTCTATTTCAGCAGTTACCCACCCAAAACCCTACGCAGAGTCGCAGTCTAACACACTTCTCTGCCCTTCTAATTCAGCAGTTACCCACCCAAAACCCTACGCAGAGTCGCAGTCTAACACACTTCTCTGCTCCTCCATTTCAGGAGTTACTTAGTGAAAATCCTATAGTGACGGTGTCTGCCCCCCGACCATTGAAATTATTTAAAAGGTAAACAGAAGAGGAGCTGTGCATAAAAACCTCATAAAGATTAAAACCACAAGAGCAATAGTGCAAACGAATAGGAGAGTTAAATGTGGACTCTTAAACATCAGATCTTTCTCTTCTAAAGGTGTACTAGTAAATGAACTAATATCAGATTATGATATTGATTTATTTTGTCTTACTGAAACCTGGCTGGGTGATGGAGAATATGTTAGCCTAAATGAATCCACCCCTCCCAGTCATATTAATACTCACATTCCTCGAGGCACAGGCCAAGGAGGTGGAGTTGCAGCTATCTTCGACTCTAGCCTACTAATCAGCTCTAAACCTAAACTAAATTATAACTCATTTGAAAGCCTTGTTCTTGGTCTTTCACACCCAAGTTGGAAATCACTGCAACCAATTATTTTTGTTATAGTGTACCGAGCACCTGGCCCGTACTCTGAAATCTTATCTGTTTTTGTCAACTTTAGTCCTTAAAACGGACAAAGTTATTATTGTAGGGGATTTTAATATTCATGTGGATGTTGAGAATGACAGCTTTAGTACTGCGTTTATCTCTCTGTTAGATTCCATTGGCTTCTCTCAGAGTGTTCATGAACCGACTCACTGTTTTAACCACACCCTCGACCTTGTTTTGGTATATGGTATTGAAATTGAACATTTAATAGTGTTCCCACAGAATCCCCCTTTGTCCGACCACTGTTTGATAACTTTTGAGTTAAAAAATTTCTATACAAGATGTCTGTCTGATAGTGCTGTAGCTAAATTTAAGGATGCGATTCCATCAGCTCTAAATTCATTATCAAGTCACAAAGTAACGGAGGACTCCTATGCTAATTTCAGTCCCTCCCAAATCGATCATCTTGTTGATAGTGCTGCAGGCACCAACTTATCTCTTAACTCAGGAACCTTAGAAACAGCTGTAGAACCAGATATATGTTTAGACTGTTTTGCTTCCCTCAATATTTACCAACTAACTTCAATAATTTCTTCATCTAAACCATCAACCTGCCTCTTAGACCCCATCCCGACTAGGTTGCTTAAAGATGTTTTACCCTTAGTCAGCACCTCTATACTGGATATGATCAATCTATCTTTATCAACAGGCTATGTACCACAGTACTTTAAAGTAGCTGTAATTAAACCTCTTCTGAAAAAGCCCAAACTTGATCCGGATGTTTTAGCCAACTATAGACCTATATCTAACCTTCCATTTCTCTCTAAGGTTCTGGAGAAAGCAGTTGCTAAACAGCTGTGTGACTTTCTACAGAGCAATAGTTTATTTGAGGATTTTCAGTCAGGATTTAGAGCTCATCATAGCACAGAGACAGCACTGGTGAAAATTACTAACGACCTCCTTATTGCATCAGACAAAGGACTTGTCTCTGTACTGGTTTTATTAGATCTTAGTGCTGCATTTGATACCACTGACCATCAGATCCTATTGCAGAGACTGGAACATTTCATTGAATTAAGGGATTAAAGGAACCGCTCTAAGCTGGTTTAAGTCCTATTTATCAGATCGATTTCAGTTTGTACATGTTAACAATGAGTCCTCCCTGCATGCCAAAGTTAGTCATGGTGTTCCTCAAGGATCTGTCCTCGGACCAATCCTCTTCACTTTATATATGCTTCCTTTAGGCAATATTATCAGGAAATATTCCATAAGCTTTCATTGTTATGCAGATGATACTCAGTTATATCTATCGATCAAACCAGATGAAACTCATCAGTTAGCTAAACTTCAAATGTGTCTTCAGGATGTTAAAACCTGGATGACCTGTAATTTTCTAATGTTAAACTCAGATAAAACTGAAGTTATTGTTGTGGGGCCTAAGCACCTCCGTGACGCATTATCTAAAGATATAGTTTCCAGCACCACTGTGAGGAATCGTGGAGTTATCTTTGATCAGGACATGTCGTTTAAGTAAATGCTCTGTATAGCGCCTTTCTAGTCTTTTCGACCACTCAAAGTGCTTTTACAGTACATCTGCATTCACCAGTCATACACTGAGCCTAAGTACTCAAACGTAAACTAACATTCACACACATTCATACACTGGCGGAACAGCCGCTAGGGGCAAATCGGGGTTCAGTATCTTGCCCAAGGACACTTCGACACGCAACCAGGGGGAGCCAGGGATTGAACCGCCGACCTTCCGATTAACGACCAACCCGCTCTACCTTCTGAGCCACAGCCCCTAGTTAAGTCTCACATTAAGCAAATTTCAAGGACCGCCTTTTTTCACCTACGTAATATTGCGAAAATCAGGAACATCCTGTCTAAAAAGGATGCAG